AAGGTGTCATACCCAAGGTCATACAATGTGAATCAATAGCAGACAGGAGGATAAACTGATCTCTTGGCTTGAAGTGATCGATAAGATAGAATAAAATTTTTTTAACATGCTAATTCTGATTCAGAAAGATAACTAATTGGTCAACCATGTGAATAGGGTTGAAAGGCTTTGGGCCCACCAACACAATAGAAGAACACAGTCCAATTTACCAGTTCTACACACCAACTCCACAGGCTACTTGACCTCTGTGAAGTCCGTTTTCTCATGCATAAAATAGGCAAATCTACCTTAGAGGGTTCTGGTAAGGGGTAAATTAGTTCACAATGCAAGACATTCAGCATAGTCTCAGTAAGCGCTAAAACGGCAGCCACAGTGTATTTCACACAGAAGTCAACAAAAGGTCAGCCGGTGAAGGGACACTTACCTATACACCTCATTTCTTTTCGATGCATATGGCTTTCTTTAAGACTTTTCAGAGGAAGGTACCTGTTCACTTACCCGTGCCTACGTCTAAGTCAGCGTTTATCAGAATCTAGAGGAATGTCTTTGTTGGCTCCCGCACTAGACCATGAGCCCAAGGTGGGAATCCAGACTTCCATCTCTGGGCACCCAACATGTGCATGATGCCTGGCACGATGCACGTGAAACTATCTGACCAACTGATGCAGTTTTTTGAAGTGAGCAAGGCTGCTATTTCCGATGTGGAGAGAGGTAAGCAGACCACATCTGGCCTATAAAATACAGAGTACATTTATACGCTGTCTTAGAGTGCTCTTTGAAAAGAGCCATCTCAGCTCCAACCAGGAGACCACAGTACACTTTCTGACCAATCATTTCTCAGGTACCCCTTGTTCTATTTATAGGTTCAAACTGAGTTCCAAAAGCCCTTTGACTCCTCTCTTCAGAAGTCCAAACGATTAGCTATACCACACCAGCTTATTAGTAAATAATAACAAAATATCCCTCGTTTATGGTCTGCCTCAATGTGCAAAACAGGAGGTTGTATCAACTCCTTTCATCTTAAATATCCTAAGGGGTAGGCATCACCATCCTAGTAACCTGTCCAGGGTTCCACAGGTGTACTTGGCACATGCTCTTTCCTCCGTGTAGCGCCATCTCCTAAAAATCAATGATGATTCTGAATGATTACTGAAGGAAAAGAGAGAAAGAACACTTTTTCAAAGAACCACACAAAGTTATCAGTGAGGTTTGGTTGAGAACTGGCCATAATTTAGCTTTAAAAATCAAAATCAAATTAGCAGTTCAAACAGTATATGCCAAAAATTCACCAGACTGTCAAACAAGCTTTAAGGTGAGGTTTATGGGCAAACAGTAACAAATGGCAAGGACTCATTTCAACTTTATTGTCTCCTCCAATCTCTGCTCAGGTCAAGGCCATTCAGAAATAACTTTTATTGTTGGGTTTCTTAGGGAGAACAATAAAATAAACTAACCAGTACAGGAAAAAAATTACAAAATAGAGGGCTGGCCATATTATTAAAAGAGTCACCTTACTAACCTACAGTCTGCTAGAAATGCCTTCATCTTGAGGCCATCAATCAATTTCATTTCATTGTAACAGAAACACATAATTATGCTTATGTTAGAATACCTTTTAGCAGAGAAAACAGAATGGTTGACTTTCAACATACACATGACAAAGCAGAAAGTACTTTCGTCCATTTTCCCCCTAAGTAGTCTCTTCAGAAAAATTCCCTCAGAATCCAGCTCTGTCAGTTTCTCCATCATTACATAGAAGACTAGAATCTATTCGTGGGGAGACCAAGATGGTTCTAAAACTCAGAAATTGCTATTATACAATCAATATCTTGCCTCTAGTGTGAATTGTCACCTCTCCCTAGAAAAACAAAGGAACCTAGGAACTCAAATTCCAAGTAAATTTTAGTTCATTCGCTAAGGTACCCTCATTTAAAGGGAAACGGCTTAGTTTGATGCCACTGAAAGAGCAGGCAGCACAAAAGGCTGTTCTAATTTAGAATTCTTTCTCTACTTATGGAAATATATTAGTAGGTATTTGGTCCTGACCAAATTCTATTAGAACCACCTAGGATTGGATAAATCAGTGTGCCATAAAGTAATTGATGAATTTTCTCTCTAGTATAAAGCAAATACTAGAAAAACTGGATTTTTCACAAGGTTCCTTCCTAGAGCACATCAGTAGTATCTTCCCTGCATTCCACAATGAATATGCTCCCCCCCCCCCAATAAACTATATTCCCAAAAGTAGCTAAAATTCTTGTCCAAACACATTTACTTGAATAAGATACACGTAAAGAAAAATCAACTACTACATGGTGTTCACACGAAAGATACACATGTGCTGTTTCTACCACAAGTAGAAATCTATCATTAGAGTCAGACTGCCTGGGTTTGATTCCTGGCTCTGGCACTTACCCAGCGCTGCGTGTGTGCATGCCTCCAGGAAAATTATTTAACTTCTCTGGGTCTCAGTTTCCTCAACTGTAAAATGGGGCTAGCAGTACTTACCTGTCATAGATTGTTATGAAGACTTATTTAATACGTGTAGAGTGCTTAGAACAAAGTTTGGCACATATAAATAGCAGCTATTATTATTATTACAGTTTGACACTACCTCATCAGTTGATGAATAAACAATGGATGGACTCTCTATGTGCCTATGCACTATAGCACATGTGCATGTGTCTTATCTATATATATGTATACTCATGAATATAGTCAAATAACATTTATTAAACATCAGGTATATTTTACACCCTTATTTCAATTACTGAGTTTGTCACAATAATACATCAAAGACTATTACCATTTGCACTGACCAATGAGAAAATGGACTCAGAAAGACTGAAGATGCTCCACAAATCCAGTTCCATAATAAGGTACCCTTTTTTTTTTTTTGAAAGCAACATGTATACAAAGTAGCATTGGGTCTCATCAGAATGCAACCAAGGGGGGAAAAGCCCTTAATAGTGAACTCTGTGATTAAAACACAAAAGCTTACATTTAACAGTTTACAGTTTGTAAAAAGGTTTCTTGACAAGCCTGGAGATAGAGAAACCAGGAACCAGAGATTAGGCAGAATACTGAAGATGACACAACTAGAAAACACTGCAAGGAAGGGTGGAATCGAATTTAAATGACTCCAAGTCCAGTGCTCTTTCTGCTTCCACATCCACAGCCAAGTGGGTAAAATACACTTTTTGTAGTGGCCCAAGTCTCTGGAGACTCTACCTCAAGAACTAGCATTATGGGAATGTGCTCAGCCTGGTTCTCTGGAGGCTGCCTCCCGGATCTATAGAGCTCTGATTCTAAAATGGCTCCAACCTAACACAAGCACTGCCTGATGGGAAATGTACAGAAGATTATAGGGTAGGAGCCATACTCCTGGGACTGACAGGCCATAAATATTTGCTACTGATGAATGAGGATATTCAACTTGGAAACCAGGTGTGTGGTCTAGGCCAAAGCATCTCCTTTCTCTGAAGGATTTTATCTGTAAGACTGGTGAAGGGTTTCTTATCTCACTGAAAGGAGATAATATGGAAATAGTTCAGCAGTTGCTACTGGATTATTAGCCTTCCACCATGAAGATCACCTGTAAAATTCTAACTTGGGTCCAGTACAATGACAGGTTTCATGCTCACCATGTGTGCTAAGGACACAGATCCTAAAAATATGAGGGCTCAGGCAACTGACGCATTCCTAAATAAGAAATGGGGTGCCCTGGAAGCAGTCAAGAAGAAAATAACCAAGAATCAAGAACACATATTATAACATAAATACCTAACATGAAAAGGCAAAAAGCAGGGTACCCACGTGTCTAGTTCTGTAAGCTGTGTCTGTGTGTGGTTTCATATGAACAACTGAGACAGAGTGAGAAATGCAGACTATTTTTCATATTCTTCCAAGTGCCTCATCTTTCTGTTTTGGCTCCTGTGGCCACCTGATGTTCTATGTTCATAATAGCATCTTGCCAAATCCTGTCTCCCACACAGGGCAAGTGAAATCAGAACCTGATGCGATCTAGCCTTACTAAAAGGAAAAACAGTGATAGCAAGGACAAGAGACAAAAATTTTTACAGAAAGGTTGGCAAACTGTCTTACCAATACTGCCACCTTTGAAAACCCCATTACACGCAGAGTTCTCCATTTGCAATAGACAAAGATGCACTCATTTTGTGCAGAAAAGGGTCCTAATCACTCCCACCCCTTCGCCGCCACCAGGGAGGCCACCAGGCAAATTTTAGTCCTAAAAACGTGCTAACACACAGTATAGGGGAATTTGGGGCGAGGACACAATGACTCTGGCATTAAATGACGGTAAATGCCGTTGGGAAAATATTCCGATTCTCAACCTCAGACATTATTTTTTTCCTGGGGATCCGGCCTGACTCAGTAACCAGTTCCAACAAATGCATTTTCTTGATACAAATCTCAACCCTGTGCCTCCTAGGGAATCTCGGGTCCTGCCAGGCTCCCAAACCAGCGAATGATGATGAAATGGCTTTACTGCAAAGTGGGAGGGGGGTTTTCCCTTTGCGCTCTCCCAAGGTTAAACCCGTTACCCATCCCATGGGGGTAACGAACAGAGGAATTGGGCCTGAGAGCTCGCCTGCATTTGGTTCCATTTTCATTTTTGAAAACCGGAAAGCGAGGAGCGAGGGTGACAGAGCTGAAAGGGTCGGATCTGGCAGCTCAAGGTGCAGGGAGAGGTCGCGCGGGGATCGAAGCTGGGTCGTGAGAAAGAGTCGGGAGTCCGCGGCTCCTCGTCCCTTCCCGCCCGGTATGGGGAGCCGCACCCCGCCCGCCGGGCAGGGCCGCGGGCGGCGAGGGCGGCCCGGGCCTCTCCCAGAACGACGGGCCCGGCCCCGGAAACAGGGAGGGTGCCGCCCCCGGAGCCCACCGGGAGGTCGCCCTCGCCGCCGCCGCTGCCGCCAGTGATGGGGAAACTGTGGGCTCGGGCCCCTGGGGGCCTCGGGCGGACCCCGCGCCGCACTCACCGTGGGAGGACTGCAGGGAGCAGAGAACCTTGCGAGCGGAGCTCCGGGCGCGGTGACCACTTCCTTCCCAAGCCCACTCCTCCGGCGGCGGCAGCGGCTGCAGAGGCGGCGGCGGCGGCAGCTACCCCGGCTCCGGAATCGGCGGCTGCGGCGGCTCCACTTCCGCTCCGGTCACCACTTCCGCTCCGGCTCGAGCCCCGCCCCTGCGCCGCCTCCTCATTGGGCGAGGGGCACGGGGTCGCCCCGGCCGCCCGAGAGGGGCGCCGCCCGAGGGAGGAGGGAGGAGAGCGGAGGGCAGGGGTGCCGCGGCCGGGGCGGGGCGGGGGTCTGGCCCCAGAGCGCGGAGGAGGCTGTCGTGGGGGGGGACGGAAATGGGGGCGGGGAGCGGAAGAAGGAGGTGGGCGGAGTGCAGACGGGGCTGAGAGGGCTCTAGAAAGGGGCTGTGTGGAAACTGGGGGGACTGGGCGAGGCTTGGGGCTGGGCGGGCCTGAGGCTTAGGCTCGGAGCTCGCCGGGGCCAGGCCCAGTGTCCGAGGTTGGTTCCCACGTCTCCCAAAAAGGAGTCGTTACGGAGTCGGAGATGCAAGTCAGCCCCCTATTGCTGCGTGCTCTGAAAATACTCGATTTAGAGAAGGACTGCAATTGCTCATCCATAGAGCTTTGCTTTAGTTCTCCCTTCAGTCCTTCAAGGTACGTCATTTTGTGGACTGAGGAAACCGGGAATCAGACTGCCGATGGTCTTCTTCTTCTTTTTTTTTTTGAAGCCTGTGTCTGTACCCTCTTAATCGAATACCCTCTGCAAGTGAAAAGTGAAAGTCGCTCAGTCGTGTCCCCATAGACTCTTTGCGACCCCATAGACTATACAGCCCATGGAATTCTCCAGGCCAGAATACTGGAGTGGGTAGCCTTTCCCTTCTCCAGGGGATATTCCTGACCCAGGAATCGAACCAGGGGCTCCTGTATTGCAGGCAGATTCTTTACCAACTGAGCTATCAGGGATTCCCAAAAACCCTCTACTCAAGATCTTAAAGGAAGTTTAAAGAAAGGAACCAGGACTTCTCTGCCCCCTACTCGCCATGACTGCTCTCACCCTTTATCAACATTAAGCTCTTCCCAAGGCAGTTCTTCAAAATGCCTCACCTCTACTCCCCCCGCCCCCGCCCCCGTCATTCATTCTTTCAGCAAATACTCAATAAGCAGGCTTTATGTTTAATGTTGGAAGCAAAACAAGAACAAGGCAGACGGGGCCCTGCTGTCTTGGAGTTTACAGGCTGGTAGGAGACGGAACCGGAGGAGGCAATGTCACCCCACTCAGGTACTCTTGCCTGGAGAATCCCAGGGACGGCGGAGCCTGGTGGGCTGCTGTCTATGGGATCCACCGAGTCAGACACGACTGAAGCGACTTAGCAGCAGCAGCAGGAGACAGAACAAAGTAAATGTTCCTTGTCATTTCTCCTTTACCTTTACTTAGGTTACTTAGAAGATCAACTTCTAATGCATCATCCTTCCCTCAGACCTGCTCCTATCGACTACCAAAGTGATTGTTGAAAAACCCCATTGTAATTGGTGTCTCTTCTTTCTTAATGCCTTCGGTGATCACTCACACCTTGAAGACAATCGATAAGCTCCTTGAATGTGACAGTCAAGGTTCTCCAGAAGCTGCCCTCATCTTTCAGCTTCTCCTTGCTGTTTCTTCCCCATCTCAAATCCCCAGTTCCTTATCCTCTCAATGTGCCAGTTTCAGTCTTTTTAAACCATTGGGGTTAGTAGCCAACATTTTTTAAAGATTGAGAGATTTCTGTGTGAAGGAAAATCTGCATCTCTGCCTTTGTCTGGCAACCCTGTGTCCACATTTCTGTGTGGCAACAATTGGCTGACACCAAGGAATGACTGTCCTTGATTTAGATCAGGCTTGGACTTGCCAAAGTGCCAAGGTACCCACCTGACCTGAGACTGCTTTCATCATTTACAATGTCTGTCCTACAGGCATCTGTGCCAGTACCGCCTTACTGTACCCCCTTTTAACTTGAGCAAGATTGAAAGTGTTGTGTAATATACACAGTATGGACTTGACATCAAAACCACAGGATTTGGACCCTTGAAAAGTTTCCCAAATGCAAAAACTTACCCATGAGAACCCATCTTTGGCAAACCAAAGATCTGTAGTCCAGAGACTGCTCAGATTGAAATAAACCTTCCTGTGATATGACCTTAGGTCCCCATCCAGTAAATACCCTAGAGGGTTGGAGGGCTTATGTTAATTACACTGCAAATGATATCATCAGTGCATTGAGGGAACAGAAGTGCCCTTTGCCAGGCATCCCTGGGTGCCTGCTAACAGGCTGCAGGATTAGTTACTTTCATTACCTCTGCATTCCCAGCCAGGGGTCAGCAAACCACAACTATTAACTAACAAAAAAGCAAGGAGATATTAAAATACAATGTGGCAGATGCAGCCATAGAAATGTATATGCCCAGGGCATTATGGGAGCCTAAGGGAAAGGCACCTAACCCATCTTGAGAGAACGGTGAGACAGCAGGAAAAAATTTCTCAAAAAGGTCATACTGGAGCCCTAAATTTCATAATGAATTTTTTTTAATTAATAGACTTTATTTTTTAAGAATGGTTTTAGGTTTATAAAAAAATAAACTAGATAGTGCAAAGTTCCCATATATCCAATATCTCCCCATCACAGTTTCTCCTGTTATAAACATCCTGCATCACTTTGGTACACTAGTTACAACTGATGAGCAAATATTGATACATTTTAAACTAAAGTCCATAGTTTGCATTAGGATTCATTCCTTCTACTGTACAGTTGTAAAGATTTTGACAAATGGATAATGTTAGGTATCTACCATTACAATATACAACAGTTTCACTGTTGTTTCAATATGTTGTTTTTAGAACGCCCCATTCTTCACCTATTCAGCTCTCACCTTCTCCCCTCACCTCAACCCTTGGCAGTCACATCTCTCTTAGTTTTGCGTTTTCCAGATGTCATGTAGTTAAATCAAACAGTCTGTAGCCTTCACTAACTGCATTCTTTCACGAAGCACTATGATTTTAAGATTCCTCTATGTCTTTTTATGGCTTGATAGCTTGTTTTTTATGACTGAATAATATTCTGTTGTATGAATGTAGCCCAGTTTGTCCACTCACCTGTCATGATGGGTTGACTCAAGTTCTACAAAAAGATAATGCTGAAGTCCTAATCTCTGGTACCTGTGAATGTAACCTTATTTGGAAAAAAATAAAAAGCCTTTGCAGATGTAATCAAGTTATGATGAGGTCATTAGTGTGGGCCCTAATCCAATATAATTGATGTCCTTATAAAAAGAGCAAGAGGGGGCTTCCCTGGTGGGCCAGTGGCTAAGACTCCTTGTTCCCAATGCAGGAGGCCCAGGTTCAATTCTGGTCTGGGAACTAGATCTGACATACCACAACAAAGATCCTGAATGCTGCAACTAAGACCTGGTACAGCTAAATTAATTAGTTAATGTTTTAAAAAAGAGGAAGAGGTCAAATGGACACACGTGGTGGGGGAGGAGAGAGGTAATGCCTTTTGATGACAGAGTGAGGGATTGGAGTGATACAGTTACAAAGCAAGGAATGCTAAAGATTCAGCTGCTGCTGCTGCTAAGTCACTTCAATTGTGTCCGACTCTGTGTGACCCCATAGACAGTAGCCCACCAGGCTCCTCTGTCCCTGGGATTCTCCAGGCAAGAATACTGGAGTGGGTTGCCATTTCCTTCTCCAAGATTCAGAGCTACCACCAAAAGCTAAGAGGCAAGAAAGGATTCTACCTGGAGTCCCAGAGTGAACTTGGCCCTGTTGACACCTTGGTTTTGGGCTTCTCACCTCCAGAACTGTGAGAGAATAAATTTGGTTGGTTAAGCCCTTGGTTTGTGATACTTGGCTACAGCAGCCCTATAAAAATGATACACCTGTCAAGAGACATCTTGATTCAGCTTTTGACTATTATGAGTAAAGCTGCCACACACATCCGTGTGCAGGTTTTGGGTGGACACGAGGTTTCAACTCGTGTTGGATAAACAATTGGGAGCATGAATCCTAGATCATGTGTTAAGATTGTTTAGCTGCAAAGAAATTGCCAAACTGTCTTCCAAAGTGGCTGTACCATTTTGCATTTCCACCATCAATAAAAGAGAGTTTCCGACGACCCATATTCATGCCAGCATTGGGTATTATCAAGTTTGTTTTTATTTTGTTTTCTTTGCTTTTAATTTCATCCATTCTTAACATAAATGTGTGATGTAAGATCCTAGTTTGTCTCCCCCAAAGTTTCTTTTTGTTCCTACTAGTCTGAAAGTTTGTAGTTCATGGTCTTTAGTCAGCCAGTAGGTTTCCTTCCATCCTTTCTTCTGTTTTTTCTCCTTAGCTCCATCCCTCCCTTCCTGTCTCTTCCCCTCTTTTTCTTCCTTATTTGGTCTTTGTTTCTCTTTCTTTCACTTTTTATTATGATAATTTTCAAATAAATACAACAGTAAATAGTACAGTAACAGTGGAAACAGTGTCAGACTTTATTTTTGGGGGCTCCAAAATCACTGCAGATAGTCATTGCAGATTCCTTGGAAGGAAAGTTATAACCAACCTAGATAGCATATTAAAAAGCAGAGACATTACTTTGCCAACAAAGGTCTGTCTAGTCAAGGCTATGGTTTTTCCAGTGGTCATGTATGATTGTGAGAGTTGGGCTGTGAAGAAGGCTGAGCGCCAAAGAATTGATGCTTTTGAACTGTGGTGTTGGAGAAGACTCTGGAGAGTCCCTTGGACTGCAAGGAGATCCAACTAATCCATCCTGAAGGAGATCAGTCCTGAGTGTTCATTGGAAGGACTGATGCTGAAGCTGAAACTCCGATACTTTGGCCACCTGATGCGAAGAGTTGACTCATTGGAAAAGACCCTGATGCTGGGAGGGATTGGGGGCAGGAGGAGAAGGGGACAACAGAGGGTGAGATGGCTGGATGGCATCACCGAATCCATGGATGAGTTTGAGTAAACTCCAGGAGTTGGTGATGAACAGGGAGGCCTGGCTGCTGCGATTCATGGGGTCGCAAAGAGTCGGACGTGACTGAGCGACTGAACTGAACTAAACTGAACTGAAGCTCTATGAACTCATCACTCAGCTTTATTTTACTATTCTACCATCCCTCAGAGTTTTTGGCAGCACTAT